TATAATAAACTTATTATATTATTTTTATATATCATAATGTATTTTAACACAATAACAGAAAAATATAAATAAAGAAAGATATTATTTATGTAATTTGAAAAAGTAAAGTCACTAAACATTAAAACAAAAAGACAATTACTTACGCAAGTATAATTAAAAATTAAATTAAATTAAAGGAATACACAAAAATAATTATTAATTACATTGTTCAGCAAAATTTGATCTTTTTCTTGCAACAAGAAAGTGAATAGTCATTCCCGACATATTTTTATCTGCTGAACACAAATCCGTTGTACAAATTTGGCGTTAAAATTTTGAGAAAACTGATAAAAAATAAAAATGATGATTTAGGATTTCTCCGTAATATATAATCTCTTTTACAAATTATATATATATAACAAAATACGATAGAGCAAGAATATTATAATGCTGTTTGCTATATTGTATTTTGTCAATTTGATATTGCTTTCCAATTTAATAAGATCTGCTTATATTATATAAGTATATATATATAAAGTTACTTACTTCATATATAATGCAATTAGGGTAGAGCGGGGCTATTCTGTCAATTTTAACTTTAAAGTAATACGAAAATTTGCATTAATGAATAAGAGAGCTTTAGCCACACGCTAGATATAATAAGCGATATTTATTTAATAGTTACGAAAATTTGCAATAGCAAACAATATCTCTGTGTAGTGATGTGTTATAATTGTATTATACAGTTAGAATTGCTCCATGAGGGCACAAGCACAACTTTTAAATAATCAACATGTGTTGTTTAGAAGCGTGAACGCATAAATTATTGCGAGGAATGGACGAAAAAGTCACTCTTTACTCTAAGTTGACATTAAGAGATTTTCTATCCTTATTATTCCTTGACCTTCTGATACAAATCAATAACCAATAGCAATATAGCAAATTTATAATGCATTAACTTGGGTTAAACATTAATATATATATATCTGACTTTTTGAAAACAATATTTACTGGATATAAATATGCTAGTAAAATTGCTAGCACAGAAACACAACGAGAAAAGAATATTTACTATCGTCTGTTATATTACTGCAAGAACTATATATACTACTGTCACCATACTAATTATATATCATTATCTATATATAATTACGTACTAATTATATTATTACTAACGATAAGTATAATGTAGAAAAATATATAAATGTACAACTTTTCATATTTAAACAACTAGAAAATTGTAGGATATGTTTAATATTGTTACGTGAAGATTTACGCTGCGCAGAAGTTAAAAAAAATAGGAAAAGAGTAAATTGAGCAATTTACGCGCAATTGCTCTGATATACATGCTTTTGTGTTGTACAGGATATTCCATGAGAAGTTGCTGTAACTAATCAACTATTATTTTGAAATGCATATAGAGAATAGAAGAGAAATAAAATCTTTTTTAATAAAAGATATAGCGTAGTTTTATTTACATATATGAAGTAAATTTATTCTTAAAGGAAACATTTTTTTGATACTTTACTTATCCTTTTTTAAACATTTTTAAAACATAATTATTTTTCAAAGAGTTACTTCTTTCTCAAAACTGATTTCTTCTGAAGATTGAATAGTTTACATTATTTTATTACAGAAAAATAAAATATAAATATAAAGAATTTTAAGCTGAAGTAATATTAATTGTTTACAAAGGAAAATATCATTATGAGCAGATACGTGTAAATTGCATATATTATTTAGAAGAACATAAACATTTCAACTCATTAGCTCGTTAAATTATTCTTTATATATTTAATGATTGTTGATTCAATATTATTAAGAAAGAAACAAAACTGATAAACCAGGAGTACATCTTTAGCAATAAAAAAAGTTTTAAAATTCAAAGTTTACACTTTGATTTCATTTTTTTTTGATAAAGTTTTCTAAAATAATTTGTTTCAAGTTAAGATTTTGCACAAATAAACACGAAAAATTTCATTAAAAACGCTATACCTAATTATTTTTAAAAAATCAGAAAAATGTTTAAAATTGTAAATGTAATACAATTTTAATTATTTTTTAAGATTTAATATTTATAATAATATTGATTAATCTTGTTGTTAAGAAAAACATTTAAACTTTAAATGAGTAAAATGGTCTAAATCAAGCTACATAAATGGATTTAATATTGTTCTTGAATTTTATAATATAAAAATAAAACTAACAAAAAATGTCATATTATACTTACTAAAGTTTCGGAACTCACAGGTCCTTCTTCAGCCATTCTTACAGATTTGTGTCGTTGGATTGATATCATTCTCTTATGATATGTAACGATACGATATATGCCGATATAATGATTATAGTTTGGATTGATTTTTCTGTTCTCAATGCGAGTGTATTGTCTAGAAAAACATTAAAATTAATTAAATATAAATGGCTATACAGAGTTATACGCTGTTAACGGAGCGCGAATAATACAAAAAATACCTTACATATAGATACAAAGATTCGAACATTTCGGTCTTTCAGTTTGGACCATCATCAGTGATAATATAAAATATAAAATAATCTTAGAGATGGTTGAAACGCAGTAACATTTTGCACCAACAGAGGTAAGCCAATACTTGGTAGAGTAAAGGTGTTAACTAATTTTAGAAAGTTGAAAAACCATAATTATAAAATATAATCATACATATCAAGTATAATTTTGACGTTTTTTTAAAACTTTACAGAGTCTGTAATTCAATTTACTTCATTTTATTTATTTATTTATTTGTATTGTCTAGAGTTAAATAATTAGTTGCCGTTAATAAAAATAGTCAATGAGATAAAATTAATTTAAAAATAGAAAAATTTGTTAAAATTTGATACCGCATTTTTTTGTGAGTGAATGCTTACAATTAGTCATCATAATAGTGATAACAAGCAGTTTTTATTTTAGTGTATTATATATCTTTTTCACAAATTAGTATCTCATTTCTAATATTATTTATTTCTAGAAATTTCTATGTAATTGTAAATACACGTTAGGCACCTATCTCTGTCATCATCGCAGATAATTGCTTTATACTTAATAAATCGTTTATCGTTTGAGAGCAATCGTTTTATATGATTATATATCGTATATTATATAATTATATATATTATTATACTATCTCTCTCTGTAAGATGATTTGTAGTCGTCTTTGTTTAGATGCCAGATTTGAACCTTGACGATAATCTGACACACACAAGCTGATTTAAAAATAATAGTAAATTAATAAATTACCGATATCTATAAATTTTATAGTACTTGTGTGGTATAGGTAACACTCGCATTTGATGAGATATTTAAGAAAGAACTTAAATTAATACTAAATGTTATATACTAATGTTATTCAGAATTATCAACGCAACGTCACGTAAATTATTTTAATTGGAAGTAGAGTGATGAGTAAATTCTCTAATAAAAATTGGAGAATGAAAAAAATGAACACATTCTTGTATAATATAGATAAAGGATAAATTGTAGATAGAACAGTATTTTTCACAAACTTTTACATCTATATTTTCACTTAGAACTTTTTAAATATTTATTATAATAAATTATATGTTATTTACACTGCATACGATTTGTAATTTGTACATGTACTTATCGCACAAATCAAACAAAATTTTGCACACCTATTGATGATATCAAATTAATTTATGTGCACACGCAGTATATGTATAATTATATAATTTAATTATAATAATTTTATGTATGTAGAACTAAACAAAATTTAAAATAATTTTATGTTGATTTTTTATTTTTTTGTACAGTAAGTCTATTATGTAATAATGTTTCTAAATATGATATAAATGTGCACAAAAATGACTATATTTTATAGTTAAAAATCAGTGTGACAAAATACTTTAATACTTATAAGATTGCATCTAGAGTAAAATAGATCAAACATTTTCGTAGTTAGGTCTAAAGTCTGTGATAAATTAAACTTCCTAATAATTATTCATTGATGCTCGGTAAACTATTCTATATACTATTCACATTCGGGCTTTAAGGTAGGCTTTGAGGATGGAGTGGTTTTTGTGGTAGGTTTTGAGGATGGAGTGGTTTTTGTGGTAGACCCGTTCTCGGGAGTAGTAGATTCTTCACTGTCGTTGCCGTTAGGAGAGGATCCATTCTCGGGAGTAGTAGATTCTTCACTGTCGTTGCCGTTAGGAGAGGATCCATTCTCGGGAGTAGTAGATTCTTCACTGTCGTTGCCGTTAGGAGAGGATCCATTCTCGGGAGTAGTAGATTCTTCACCGCCGTTGCCGTTAGGAGAGGATCCATTCTCGGGAGTAGTAGATTCTTCACCGCCGTTGCCGTTAGGAGAGGATCCATTCTCGAGAGTAGTAGATTCCTCACCGCCGTTGCCAGGAGTGGACTCGGAGGTAGTTGGCTTGGGACCAATAGTGATATCGGGCATACAGTCTTTCGGAGGTTTCATATTAATCATATTTTTATCAAGATTGAAATGTACTAATGCTTCTACATTTTCCTCCTCACGAGATTCAGTTTCCTTTTCAGTTTCACATTCCTCAACTTCTTCCTCAATTGTACACTCCTCTTCAGGAAGAGTAATTTCCTCACACTCTTCTTCAGGAGGAGCAGTTTCCTTGCACTCTTCTTCAGGAGGAGTAGTTTCCTCACATTCCTCTTCAGGGGGGCCAGTTTCCTCACACTCCTCTTCAGGGGGAGTAGTTTCCTCACACTCCTCTTCAGGGGGAGTAGTTTCCTCACACTCCTCTTCAGGGGGAGTAGTTTCCTCACATTCCTCTTCAGGGGGAGTAGTTTCTTCAGACTCCTCTTCAGGAGTAGTTTCTTCAGACTCCTCTTCAGGAGTAGTTTCTTCACACTCCTCTTCAGGAATAGTGATATCCTCTTTTTCATAATTTACTTCTGTAAAATTAATCAATATAAATTGTATTGTACAACATAATTTGATTTTTTTGGGCATCGTGAGTACAAATGGTTGTACCCGACGTATTTATACATATATCTGCTGAACATAAATCCGTTATTCCAATTTCAATATTATTATATCATAATTTTAAGAAAAATTTTGCTAAAGAGGCTAAAGGCAACTTTGAGAGTTGACATTGTAGTATGGACTGCAAATATCTTTTCTAAATTTCGTTAGTGTCACCTTTGAAAATATCAACTTTTAGTTTTAAGATGCATTTCGCTTTGTTTTAGTGTAATGTTATTGTTTTATAAAAATAGAGTAATTTAAAAATCTTTTCTTATATACATTAAAAAGACGTTTTGTTCTATCTTATAATTACATTATGTGGAAAGTATTTTTTATATTTAATTAGGGGGGGGGGGGGGGGGGGGTTATATTAAATAGGACACGTTATGAAAAAAACATTATAACAAAATATAACTGTCACTAACGTGTGACCATCTGCATAGTTAGGACATTATATAGTGTGGTAGTAGTAATTTCGGATGTCTTAAGAGGAAATTGGTTTCATCGGTTAAGGGGTCTTTTTACGGCTGATGAGGACTCTGTGAAGTCGAAACGTACCGTATATTAATGTTATCATTATAATAAATTTATAGATATATTTAACAACCATTATTGCTCAATTTATTCTTGACCTGGGAGGTTTATTGTTAATTTTAAAATATAACTGATTATAATTTTTCTGCCATATATTTTATAAAGATTTGGAGAAAGCTCTTTAAATATCCTCAAAATTATCGTTATTTACCTGTATGATGATGTTTTTCTTAAAATTCAAACATAATAATCAAATTTAAACAACATGTTTAGCATGCAAAAATACATAGGAAATAACTATATTCACATTTGTGTTGCAAAATAGTGTTCGAGTAATTGATGTATCCTCTATTATACATGTATTTATTAAGTATTCGAAAATATACGTACCATGTTCTGCTGTTTGCATGCTTGGAGGGCGAGCTTCAGCATTATCATATGCCAGAACCATTATTAAAGAAAATGTCATCTAAAAAGATTGACAGAAATCGTAGTTTTTTCAAGGCATGTTCGATGTTATTACTTGTAAAAAAAGCAATTACTGAATAAAACTTACAATGGATTTCAAGGAGGCCATTTTTTAAGGGATTTTTTCCTAGTTTTTGTTTCTTGATCTTGTTTATATATATATATATATATCTTCCTAATATATATGCTAGGAAGGCTGCCAATGCAGAATGTGAAGAGAAATATTTACTATTGTTCTGTTGGTAAGAACTATATATACTTTATTGCTATCATACTAATTATATATATATAAAATATATAAGATAATTATATACATTATCCTTACGTCAACATAATGTAAACTGTATGTAAATGCAGAATATTCTATATCTAAATTGCGCTAGAAAATTATATATACTTATAGACTTATTCAACTTTGAGTATAAGTATGGAAAAGTTCTCAAGGTAAACTTTAAAATTTTTAATGGAAATTTCCATTTTTCATTCAATATTCGTAGCTAACATCGGTATTTTTTCAAAACACTACAATAAAACTCTATTTAATTAAGTTTTTTTCAAGATATGAGTTGTCAAATTTCAGATATCGCCCCAGCATTAGCATTATCCAAAGTGTTCAACCGTCAGTTAAAATCTCTTAAATACTATATAGGGTCATGACCTCAATAACATTTCTTGAAGTCAAGGCCATTGCAGCTAGGTCTCTCTCAATTCCATCTTTATGTTAAAAAATAAAACAAAATTGTAATAATATGTATTAAATGTTTTTAAAAATAGTATATATATTTATAAAATTGTCAATGAAATAAAAAGGCAATTAAGAGTCAATATTATATGTGTGATCTAATAAACCATTTAATATATTATAAATTAAAATAAAATAAAAATAAACTAAAATTTACACTATAAATGCGCACGCAATAACGTTTCGGCTACATATTCGAGCCGTCCTCAGATGTACATATATGGTAAATATTAATTAACGCAGTAAAACTTCCAGATTGGAAGATCGTTTGTGATGTATCCCTGTGGTACTAATGAGGACACAAAATTAACGTTATATTAATAAAATAATGTGACAAGCAATTGTCCCTCTGACAAAAAACTCACCCTGGAGTAATCCATGTCGTTAAAAGAGTCATTTATTAAAATTTGGTGACGATCAAAATCATTATTTTGTTAATACATTGCAAATGCAAGTCGTCCGAAATATAAAACTTTTATAACCGTCCAACCAACTCGACGTACGGAACTATAATGTTTAAGATTTTGGTAATGCAAAGTCATATCTTGTTTATAATAGGAATATATGCTTCATGTAGATCTAATGTGTCTGTTTGTAGGTTAAGACTGTTTTGCTGTTTTTTAATGTTGAGCATCTCTCTGCGACAATACGTTTCCCATAACACGGCTCTTCATTTAAGATTTGTACATTATTCCAATCGAACTCATGTCTTTGTTGCAATCTGTGATCTGTTATCACCGATTTAGAGCTCGTATTCCATCTAATGTGATTACGGTGTTCTGCAATTCGTGTTTTTAATTTCCTTCCTGTTTGTCCCACAAGGTGGCATATTATAGTTCTAATGAACTAAGAAAATATATTAAAGTACATAAAGATCCACTTGATTATCTGTCTAAGACTAATGTGGTATATAAGATAAATTGCAACGACTGCGATGCGTCTTATGTACTTTTATAGAGAAAATTAAAATAAATATTAAATAAATAAATGTATTACAATTATTTCCCATTAAAACATATTACAAAATTCTTTTAATCAAATTTTATATAATAATATTAAATTTTAATAATTTTTTTTTAGTTTCTTATCATTAATTTTATTTATTTTTATAAATTTTCATCTAATTTTATACATGTTGTACTTAATTTGGTCACTATGATTAACTACCTATAATTAATTATTATTTAACAGCTAACTTATCGTTTAGTTGGCGATTGTTTTCCACGATCATTGCCATTATTGCCATCTGCAGTCGTAAGCGATTACCTTTGCTCGCGCGGATGTTTGAAACACGATAATAATTTAAACTATTTTAAAGATAAAAGTAAAATAATACCGAGAGCGTAGCTTCCAATCGAAATCACTAATAAATTTTACGATTTCTAGGTACATGCAAGTAACTAATCCGAGCTTCAATAAGATATTTAATAGAAAAACATTAAACTACACTGAGAAAAAAAATAGTTGATTCAACTAAATTGGCGGTCACGGGCTGTCCAGCAAATATTTTGTTAGTCGAAATATTAATGTATTTGAGTTAAATACGCAGTAGTACAATGAACAATGACTTATTTATTTCGACAGGACATATCTTTGAATTAACAAAATATTTGCTTGACAGCCCGTGACCGCCAATTTAGTTGAGTCAAGTACTTTTTTTTCTCAGTGTATTTGGAAATTAGCGTAAAATATTGCTAATATTATCTAGAATTAACGATGCAGCGTTGAGTAGATTAGTTTAAATGAAAGTAACTATAATCAATCATAATCTGATGAACGTGTTTTTTAATTTTCTCTTAATTGATTACTTTTATTTTACCATATTTTTGAATAAAAAATAACACATAACAACTAAATTATTCATATAAACGAAGGCTGTAATGATTAAATCTAATAATAAAATTAAAGGGTCAGTACGAGTCGACACAAGTTATCAATTACAATTTAATCATATAGAGCATTAAACATGCAATATAGACATTTCGACCTATGTTTGAGATCCTCTTCGGTACATAAAAATAAATTTTGTTTAAACACTATGTCATATATATATATCATTATTTTACGTAAGCATAATGCAGAATAATTCTAAATATGTATAAAATACTGAATATCTAAATTACTAAAAAATTATATGTATAGGTTATGCATGACAAACAATTTTTATTTTAAATGCACACTCTTTTGTGCAACACATAATATAAAAAAATATGTAATTGTGGAGAAAATTCAAGAACTGTATACATAGTATATAGTATACGTATATATATTTTAAAATATATGGTTTTTGCCTTATTTCTGTGAGCATATTAATAAATATTAGAAATATTAAAACTCTTTCTCGTCGAAATATATTATGAAGTTCTTAGTTTAATACTTATATCCTGACACGTAATTAAATTTTACATAAACATACTATTAAATTTTAATAATTTTTTTTAGTTTTCTTGACTTTTTTCTCATTTTCTATCTAATTTTGATTCTAGAACTATCGTAATATTAAGAGACATGATACTGCTATATACGTAATCTCAACAATCATAGTTTCTTCTGATATTTCTTACATATATTTTTTAAACATATAATAACGTGCGATTATCATTCTTCTCTTTTTGTAGAAGTTTTATTTATATGAATCACTTTATTGGTCAGGCATAGCTTGGCGATTAGTGATCTCTATTTATACATTGAAATTATGTATCATAGCAGTCTAAGGTTAAACAGTTTGCGTTGCGCTTATCTTTGTTATTATCGCAGCTAACTGCCTGCATTTAACAGCAATTAGCGCTTATCATTTGATGATGTCTATTTTATGCGTTTACCGCCATTATTATCGCCATTAGTTATATAGATAATCACCTTGGTTGGAAACCACCCAAGTAGCACAGCACCGCTTGCAAAATGCTAAGCGAAAAAACAAATATATGCGCTTTTTCAGCACTTTGTTAACACTTTGTAGGCGCTATGTGCTATTTGGGCAGGCTCGAAATGCGACAATAATTTAAGCCAATTTAAAGGTGTAGGTAAAAAAATATCAAAAACATTATTTCCATTACAAAATTACCGATAAATTTTATAGCACCTTCCAAGAGATATTGCAGGTAACTTTCGCATCCACTAAAGTGTATGATAAAAAGTTATTGAACTATTTGGAAAATAACATGAAATATTATTCAGAACTAATATTGTATTACTGGTCAGAATTATTAATGCAATGCTTGATATAAATTTAATTGACATTACAGCCATAAACGATCGATTCTAATTCGAATGAAATAAAAAGTATAAAAGTATTCTTGTAATTTCTAGATTTGAAGAATAAATTGTAGATATAACAATACTTTTTAAAAACTGTTTGTAATTAATGCGGATGTATGTTTAATTTTTGCTTTTATTAAGGTAAATTGAACGTATTTATACAGCTTACGATGTAAGTTGCTAGAAAAGTTTTTGCAATCTAGTACTTCCATGTGGCGCCAACGTTCTGCTACTATCCCATCCGTAAAATTAAACGTGCTGTTTGGTATACAACAATTTGTTTATCGGAAATCATCAATTGAATGAATTGTGTAGAACAAACCGAAATCGCGTCATCATGACAGTATCAGTTGTCACAGAGCACACCAAAAAAACTGTTGATTTTTTTATCCAGTAAAAATGTCTAATTGATAACTCACGTATTCACCTGATTTACACTTAATGACTTCTTTTTGTTCCCAAACATTAAACATAAGATGCGTGGTAAACGATTTGTGTCGCCTGAAGCAGCTGTTGAAACATATCGAACACTGATTTCTGAGGTTACAGCCTCAGAGTGGAAAAAATGTTTCGGAAATTGATTCGAGCGTATGCAAAAGTGTATTTATTTTAAAGGCGAATACTTTTTGAAAAACAATAAAGCCATTTATAACAATAAAGCTGAATTTTTTAAATGTTTTTTTTTATATCGTTTGCAGAAACTTTTCCAGCAGCCTACGTGTTTATGGTTTGTGTGTAGTTTGTATCGCATACATATAAACACAGTATTGCGAATTGATGACGAGAATAGAATATTGAATACTGTATACGTATTACCTTTTTGCAAAAATTGTATATACTATTACTATCATACTAATTATGTCATTATCTTATTTGAACAAAGTAAATATCTGAATGTATTATTCAATATCTAAATGATCAGGAAATTATATTGTTTATGACCGAACAGAGATTTGTTTGTCGTTGTTTTCTGCATATTAGAA